GAGAATTTTTTTTTAAGATTTTTATTTATTCATTTGACAGAGAGAGAGAGATCACAAGTAGGCAGAGAGGCAGGCAGAGAGAGGGGGGGAGGCAGGCTCCCCGCTGAGCAGAGAGCCCGATGTGGGGCTTGATCCCAGGACCCTGAGACCATGACCTGAGCTGAAGGCAGAGGCTTAAGCCATTGAGCCACCCAGGCGCCCCAGATTGGCATTTCTATACCATGTGTTGACTAATAAATCAAGTAGAATCATAAAATTAGGAGAAACACTACAAAATCATCTCATATTACTTGGGGAAAAAAAAACCAATCCCTGAAATCAGTAAAAGGAAACTTAATAAAGTTTTCCTTGAACTCCTCTAACAGTTGGAGGTTCCTCAAAAATTAAATACAGAGTTGTCATAGGACCTAGCAATTCCACCCTAGATATATACCCATGAGAAATGAAAGATGTGTTCATATAAAAACTTACACAGAATATTCATAGCACTATTTTGTAATCGCCAGGAAGTGAAAATGACCCAACTGACCATCAGTTGATTAAAGGGTAAGATGTAGTGTATTCAAACGATGGAATATTATTCAGCTTTTAAAAGGAATGAAGTACTGATATATACTACAATATGGCTGAACCTTGAAAATATAATCCTAGATGAAAGAAGACAGACACCCAGACCACATATTATATGGTGCCACTTACATGAAATGTCCACTATAGGCAAATTAATACAGAGAGAAAGTAGGTTGTTGGTTGGCAGGGTATTGGAATGGGGGCAAGGGGGAATGACTGCTAATGGGTATAGAATTTCTTTTGGCAGTGATGAAAATGTTCTGAAATTAGGTAGTGGTGATAGTTATACAATTTTGTGAATAAACTAAATATTACTGAATTGTACACTTTAAAATGATGAATCTTACATCATGTGAATTGTATCTTATTTTAAAAAATTAATTTAGGTGGCACCTGGATGACTCAGTTGGTTAAGGTCTGACTTAGGTTTGGGTCCTGATCTCAGGGTCCTGGGATCAAGCCCTGCATTGGGCTTTTCGTTCAACAGGGAATCTGCTTCTCCCTCTCACCCTACTCCCCTCTCCTACACGTTCTCTCTCTCTCTCTCTCTCTCTCTATCTATCTATCTGTCTCTCAAATAAATTCTTTTAAAAAATTAGTTTGAAAGGCACTTATAGAAATTCAGTGTCAGAGACCAGACTTCATAGTTTTATATGGTAAAAAGAAAACAGATTTTGAATTGGCTCTGATATTAATTCTGATATTAGGACATAAGAAATATTATAGCTTCCCTCTTGTGCTCTTTCTTGGATCACTATATCTGAGTGAAGCAAGCTGTATGTTTTGACAACACCCAAGAAGCCCTATGGAGAGGAGCTCTAGACTTTAAGAACTGAGTCCTCCTGCCAGAAAACAGAAAGAACTTTCAAGTTATGTGAATGAGCCTTCTTAGGAGTAGATTCTCCTGGTCCAGTCAAGCCTTCAAATGATTGATTCATTTGGGGACTTAATGGGAGACCCAGAGCCAGAACCCCCCACCTAAGCCATTCCTGGATTTCTGCCTTTTTTTGGAATGATGAAAATATTCTAGGATTACATAATAATGGCAGTAGTGATAGTTGCACAATTTTGTGAATGTGTGAAAAATCGCTAAATTGTACACTCAGAAATGGTGTAAAATTACATATACTTGTAGCTTTAAGCAACTGAGTTTTAGAATACTTTGCTTCATGGCAATAGATGACTAAGACACATACTTTAAAGGACACTGAACAAACCTAAATGTGACCCAAGAAGAACAATCAGGAGGTCACTGGGGTGTGACGTCCTGTCACATGTAGACTGCACTTGAGGTGCTTTTGTCTGGAGTAGGAAAATCTGATGAGGACCTGGCTTCTGACTGCAAATATCTTCCAGTTGGATGACATCAGCATTATGGCTAAATAAAACATCCCTTGTCATGTCCCATCCCTCAACAACAACAATTCGGCATCCATCCTTGGACAAAAGTGACTTTTTGGGAACTGTGCAATCTAACACCAAACACCAAGGAGTCTGGGAGGAATATCGCCCACGTGTGTGACAGGTAATGGACATACAAACTTCAGTCCCAGGTGTGGACTGTGAACCAACTCCAACCCTTCTTGACCATAGTCTGGGAACCCTGGAAAACATGTCTCAGACAATCACTCATGGATGAGATAGCCTTGTGGAAGTCCAGCTTTCCAGCAGAGAGGTTCCAGGGTAACTTTGAAGCAAAATTAAAAAATGAGTGGATGCCTTGGTTAGTAAAGACTGGAGGAGGGGATTGCTACTTCAAATACAAAGACAGCAATGGAAAACTTCAAGAAACATGAAAAATCAAGGAAATGTGATACCACCAGAGGGTCACAATAATCTAGTAACTGACCTCAACAACATGAAGATCTATAATTTATCAGATAAATGAAGAATTCAAAAATAGCTGTTTTAAGGAAATCAACAAAACTAAGAGCTGGGTTTTTTAAAATGATAAACAACATTGACAAAACTTTAGCTAAACTAAAAGAGAAGGTTCAAATAAAATTAGAAATGAAAGAAAAGACATAACTGATACCATAGAAATAGGATCAGAGAGACTACTCTAAATAATTGTAAGTTAACAAATTGGACAACCTAGAAGAAAAGAATAAATTTACAGAAACAAACAACCTACCAAGACTGAATCACAAAGAAATAGAAAATCAGATTAGACCAATAATGAGTAAGGAAACTGAATGAGTAGTCAAAAAACCTCTCAACAAAGAAAAGCCCAGAACCAGATGGTTCCCCTAGTGAATTCTACCAAACATTTAAAGAATTAATACCAATCCTTTGCAAAGTCCTCCAAACAACAGAAGAGGAGACAATGTTTCCAAACTCATTTTACATGGCTAGAATTACCCTGATACCAAAGCCAGCTAAGAACACTATAGGAAAAGAAAATTACAGGCCAATATCCCTGATGAATATAACTGCAAGAATTCACAACAAAGTATTAGCAAACCAAGCTCGGTAGGTAATTAAAAGGATCATAAATGATCAAATGGGATTTATCCCCGGGAGGCAAGCATGGTTCAAAATATGCAAATCAATAAATGTGATACACCACAGTGATAGAATGAAAGATAAAAATCACACAATCATCTCAATAGATGCAGAATGAACATTTGACGAAGTTTGGCCTCCTTTTTTGATAAAAAACTCTCAATAGGGTATAAAAGCAATGTGCCCCAATATAATAAAGGCCATATATGACAACCACACAGCTAACATTATACTCAATGGTAAAAGTTTGAAAGCCTTTCTTCTAAGGTGAGGAACAAGACAGGGGTGTGTGTCTGCTACCATCACTCCATTTTAGCATAGTACCGAAAATTCTAGCCAGAACAGCTAGGCAAGAAAAAGAAATACAAGAGCCAAATTGGAAAGGAAGAAGTAAAACTCTCTATTTTCAGATATTGTGATTTTATATGTAGAAACTCCTAAGCTTTACCAAAAAGCTGTTAGAACTAATCAACAAATTCAGTAAGGTTGCAGTATATAAAACCAGCATACAGAAATCAGTTGCATTTCTACTTGCTAACCACAAAATATCTGAAAAGATATAAAGTAATCAAGTATTTTCCAGCCTGTGTAGGCAGACCTTCTCTATGTAACTCCAACAGGAAAAGAAAAAAAAGAAAAAGAAAAAAGAAAGGATACGTTTGGATTCTTATTAAACATTTGGTAAAAGCCATAACTGACCCACATGAGAAGGGGGCCCTTTAAAGGACGTTACCAGAAGGGTCCCAGCTGAGGCTCTGATGGCACTGTTAGAAATGTGTGTGTTCCTATGTGGGAACAAAGGATATCCTCTTAGGGAAATCCAAAGTTACTTCTCTCCTACCAGCCACCCTCATGATATATAGTATCCTATTTTAGGATACTCCATTGCAACTTAGAGCAGACCACAGCTGAGCTGTTCTTGTCAACACATAAAAACATTTGTTCTCTCTATATCAAACTACAAGCTGTGGAGTTCAGGATCTCTGACCAGTGCTGAATGCTGAGCAGTGGTGACAACTAACATCCTGGTGGGGCAAAGATTTTCACAATGGTATTATGTACATCTGCACTATCAACTTCTAGTGTTTTCATTGTGGTTTCACATAACTTCTCTCTCTTGTTTGATATCAATACTGTGAGTAGGTGGCAGCTATGACTCTCCTCTTTTATGTGGGTGAGGACACTGAGGTTCAGAGTCGTTTAGTGATTCACTCCAAATCACACAGCTGATTAGCTGGTCAGGCAGGGACTTAGAACCTGGATCCAGTCCATATTCTAAGAGAAATGTCACAAGCAAAGCTGAACTACAGGTAAACAGATCCTGCTGGGTGGCGACCAGAGGAGTTTTTGGTAAACTTCAAAGCAAATTAAAGCAAACAAGCCAGTGAAAGAAAGACTTGTCTTAATGCATACACCCCAGACCATTTTCCAGAGATAGTCTTCCACCTGCCTCTTCTGTATTAAACTTATTCATGGAAGGAACAAGTGTGGGGTTGCTTGATTTGAAAATAGGACAGTTGGATAGTTTCCTTTCTTGGAAAAGGACAACTATCTTCTAAGGATGATAGGAAGTAATGAAAAGGAAGCATGGTTTCCCCCAACTGTGGGGTACAAGAGAGAAATCAGTGATAAGAACCAGGAGTTTAAATTGGTTTAAAAACCGTATTCCCATGGTAAGCTTAACCTTTTTCTCTTAAAAGCTTAGCTGGTGCTCCCTGGGAAATTCATAAGGATTGGAGGGCAGGGGTCTCTGGCTCTGTTCCTGGTTGCACTACCCTGAAAGCTAATGGCACAGTTCAAACAGTGAGTATACCTCTTCCAGGAGACTGTGTTCTGCAGACTGAGGGAGGGTGGATTGGGAGCACTGGGGAAGTAGAATAGGAAAAATCAACAGCACTGCCTCCTTTTTCAAACAGACTTTTGGCTCACACCAGTACTAGTCACCAGACCTGGACTGAAACAAGCCCCAAAGGCCGAGGAGGTAGGCAACCAGTCTTATCTTTTCATCTCCAAGTGATCCATGGTTCCAGGGAAATTGAGAAGCTCAGGTCTCCAGTGAACCACATAAAAGCTCTGTGTCATTTCATACGCCGAGTGGCATTTTCCCCTTAATTAGCCTAGACACATTTCATCAAAGAGTTGATTGCTCCTTTCCAGAGACACTGAAGATGTTCTGCTGCCTGTGGTGATAGAGGGATGGAGAAGCATGAACCCAATGCTTCTCTTATTCATCATTTGTCTCAATCTTGAGCATTTTCTTACTTCCACAGGGAGACAGCAGTTTCTCGTGTAGAAAACATGGGTTTGGGAGCCAAATAGACTACAGTGAGTCTTGTTTCTATCACTCACAAGCTATGCGATCATGGGCACAGTATGTCCCCTCTAAGACTCAGTTTACCCATATATGAAACATGAATACTGCTAGTACTTACCACATATAGTTCTTGTGAAAATTGAATAAGATCATGTATGTAAATACGTAACACAGGACCAGGCTCACAGTACTTGCACAACAAACATTGGTTCCTTTTCCCCAAACTTTTATTCCTAGCTCTTTGCCAGAATCTTCAACTCTGTCAGTTACTTGGTCAGAGTCACCTGGGGGAGTGAATCTACCAAAAGTGTCCTTCTTTTTACAGAAACTTGAAGGATCTTGGGGAGACCAGGCCCTCTGAGTTGTATCCCAGGAATGAGAAAAATTTGTATTGACCGGTCTACCATACTGTTTCATCTGGTTTCCTGGGTTGAAGGCATGCATCTGAAAGACATGGTCAAAGTGAGGAGTCAGGGTTGAGATAAAATGTGTGACTAAAGGTTATGAGTGTATCTTTGAGTATGGAGCAAGGCACAGGCTAACTGGCCTCCTCAGAGTTAAAGCTGGGACTCTGAAGAAAAGCTGACCTTTGCAGGGTCAATGTACTCTTCCTTATGACCTGAAGACTTCCTTTTCTTGGTCTTTATTTCATTTAATCATTCAGCAAGCCCATACCACTTATCTTAGTTTCCAGTGGCTGTACCATAAACTAGGAGGTTTAAAGCACCAGAAATTTTCTTCTTTCACAGTTCTGGAGGCCAGAAGTCTGAAATCAAGACATCAGTAAGGCTATACTACCTCTAGAGACTCTAGGGGATTATCCTTCCTTTCCTCTTCCAGCTTTTGGTGGATGTCTTCATTCTTGGCTTCCTTGGCTTATGGCCTCATCATTCCAATATCTGCCCCTGTCTTCACATCACCTTCTTCTCCATGTCAGTCTCCCTCTGCTTTACTTTTAAAGGATATTTGTCATTGAATTTAGAGCCCACCTAGATAATCCAGGATGATCTCCTCATCTCAAGATCTTTAACTTAATTATGTCGGCAATGACCCTTTTTCTAGGTAACAGTCACAGCTCCAAGGATTAGATTCCAGAAATTAAGAGGTTAGTAATCCTATCTTTTGGGGGTCCACCATGAAGCCTCCTTAAACCACCCAAATCCTTATAGACCAACTGATTCATGACAACATGAGCCCAAGTATAACTCCTTTCAGGCATATTTGTATTATAAATATTTTAACCTAAAAGAAAAGAGCAATTCTTGATTTAGAAGGAAAAATAATCACTAATAGTGGTATTTGAGGTACTATCAAGGAACCGTTTCTTTCTTTTCATCATTTTCTTCCCAGAAAGCTCCCCTACTTCTACTTCTCACTTTATAGCTTTGTATTGTGTGTTCAGTCCTAAACTAATCACAGGTAAGGGATGCTTTAATCACAGGTAAAGGATGCTTAGTGCCTTAGACTGATCAGGAAGTCACTACTAGGGCTGGGGAAGTTGGGGAGGACCCAGCCTCTGAGAAACACATAACCTTCCATCAAAAGCAAAACAAAACAGTCTCAACAAGGAAGTAGGAGTTGGTGGAAGGTTGGTGGAAGGCAGCTACCATTCCCGTGTGCTACCCCCTTTCCCACCAGCTATAGCACTGACTCCTACCATACACAGTGCTCCACCACATGGATCATACCTAGTTGGGGGCACTTGGCTGGAAGGAAGATGCAAAAAAGCATTTGGCATTTCTGCATGTGCTATCCTGATATCTCTGAAATGCCAGAGGCTATGGGAGTAGGCCTTTTAGTGAATATCAGCTGGATCTTTTAAAAAATGTTCTTTCAAAAGACAGCTACCTTGTCATAAGGCAAACAGCCAAACATGTCCACTCAGTATTTTTAAATTACCAAGTTTTCAAAGCACCAGGATAAAAAGCTCTTTTCAGAGCCAACAGGTTGGCAAGAAGTTACAGGAAGAAAGACCAAGATATTTGCCTTTAAATCAGCTTAGAAAAAAGTAATAATGAATAAGCCCGTAGACTATAGGAAGATTAGCTATATCTTACTTAGTCTGATTTGAACCTGTGACCTGCAGGTAAAGGGTAAAACTTTTCCTTCCAGAGGAAATGTCAAAATGGCAATTTTCACAGAGCAACCCCTGCCCTTGAGTTAGCCAGGAACCTCCCTTTCTCTAGCTCTGTACTCAGGGAGCTTATATTTGCTTTTGATACAAGTTATACCTTGTGAGGGTACTGTCTTGATTGTTCCTGTCTTGTTATTACTCTTACCTTTCAAATTTACCTCAAGTAGCCTCTGGGCATCTTACCCACTGAGCAGCACCGATAAGAGTTTAAGTTCAGGCAGTGGAGCCCTGGAGAAAAACTATTGCCTCATTATGCAATTGTACTACCATGGGACGTATTTTATCTTACTCATGCTATTTTGCCAAAGACCTCCAACTGGCAGCCTACTAGAAATGTCTGCCTTGCAGATTTTTTTAATTTTTAAATGAACTGCCTACATTTAAAATTATAAAAATGAAAGAGTTGGATTCAAATATTTATTCTGTCTCTCCCACTCACACTCTTTCCTCTTCTAGGACTGCAGTTACATTATATATATATTAGGCTGTTTAAAGGTGTTCCACAGCTCAGTGATGACCTTTTCATTAAAAAGATTTTTTTCCACTCTGTTTTATTTGGATAATTTTTATTGCTATTCTTCAAATTCACTCAGTTTTTTCTTCTGTGATGTTTAATTCACCATTAATTTAAATGCAGTTTTTCTTCTCAGATATTGCAGTTTATATCACTAGATCTTTGATTTGGGTCTTTTTAATACTATCTATTCCTATTTGGACATAGGGAATTCTGTTATACTTACTTTTAATATTTTTGTCTGTTAATTCTAACATCTGTGCCAGTTTTTCATCATTTCAATTGTGTCAGCTTATTTTTCTCCTCATTATGGGACACATTTTTTTTTTTAGCTTCTTTGCATATTTGGTAATTTTTCTTAAGTAGGCTCCATACCCAATGTGAACCCATGACCCCAAGATCAGTTACACTGTCAACCAAGGAAGCCAGCCAAGCATCCTGTATACCTGGTGATTTTTGATTGGATGCTAGACATTGTGAATTTTAACTTGTTGCATAGTGGATATTTTTATTTACCCTTAAATATTCTTAAGTCTTATTCTGGGATACAGTTAAGTTAGTTGTAAATAGTTTGATCCCATTGAGTATCCTTTTAAAATTATTAGGCAGAACTGAAGTAGTGCTCAGTCTAGGACGAGTTTTCCCTACTAATAAGGCAAGATCTTTCTTAGTATTCAATGCCCTGTGAATAATGAGGTTTCCCATTCTGGCTGTGGGAAGAGGCACTACTTCAAGCACTGGGTAGGTGCTAGATCCTCTCAGGTGGTTCTTTCCCAGGCAGGGAGTTTACCCACATATATATACTAATTGGTACATGGGTAAAAACTTGAGGAAACCCTTTCTGTATATCTTCTCTCTAGTACATCTCACCTCTCCAATACAACATCATACAATTTTTAGCCACTGTGGTCTCCGAGACTGTTAGCTGTATCTCCCCAGCTCAGCAGTCCACCAGGCTATATCTGGATTTTTCCTCACTGAACTATGTCCTGGAAACTCTCTCACTGCATTAAGCTGAGTCAATCATAGGACTTGCTTTGTTTGTTTTCCCATCTCAAAGGGATCATTCTTCATTACTACCTGATATCAAGCATCTTAAAAAAAAAACATTGCTTCATATATTTTATCCTTTTTATGATTGTTTTGATGGATAGATAAATCCTGGCTTGTTATTCTTAGTTGGAAGTGAAAGTTTTTCTCTTCTTAAATTTCATTATTTATTTGTATTTCACATAATGAAATAATACTTGTTTAAAATTCATTAAAAAGTAAATCTACAGGGGCACTTGGGTGGCTCAGTTGGTTAAACATCTGACTCTTGATTTTGGCTCAGATTGTGATCTTGGGGTCATGGGATTGAGCCCTGCATCAGGCTCCTCCCCAGGCTTGGGTTTGGGATTCTTTCTCCCTCTCCTTCTGCTCCTGACCCCACTGCCTACTTGCACCATCTCTCTCTCTCTCTCTGTCTCTCTCTCTCAAAAAAAAAAAAAAAAGGGAAGAAGGAAAGTATCTATAAAAGTCGGTACTTCCAGTTCAGGAAATATGGAGCAAGTAATTTAAAAACTAGACAGAAGCCTCTGAAAAGTAAATGATAGCAGACATATGTAGGAAGGAAACCAGAACTAAATGTACTAACGACCTGACCTGGTGATGAGTTCTCTTTTTTCTTTTCTTTATCTCCTGGTCTGGATTCAAAGACCAAATCCCCAAACTATACCAACTATGTCCCAAAGAAAACCTCTTTCTGGCTTGAGGAGCACAAAAGGGGACAGTTCTGAATAGCACAGCAAAGTCTTTGAGAGCTGAACAGACATTGAAACATAGTGCATAGAAGACAAATTGGAATTGTACCCTGAACTTAACAGGCTTATTGCCTATTAAAATAGAGAAGTAAACAAAAAATTTATATTCTCCATGGGATTTAACTGAGACAAAGAATCTTATAATATTCAAAATGTCAATTTAAATGTTTTGGATCCAATTCAAAATTACTCGACTTATGAAGAATCAGCAATAGCTCCATAACTAACAAAGGAAAAGACAACTGATAGACACCAATCTCCAGCGATGCACATGGAATTTTCAGACTTTAAGGGACCATTTTATTCATATTCCAGTAAGTAAGTATGAATATCCTTAAAACAAATGGAAAGACCATTAAAAAAGAAAATCTCAGCAGAGAAAGAGAAGTATTGAAATCAAGAACCAAATGGAGTTTTTAGAACTGAACAACACAATAAACAAATTTTTAATAAAATCTAGAAATCACTTGAGAGGATCAGTAGCAGAATGGGAAGGACAGAAGAGAGAACCAGTCTTGAAAAGAGATTAATAGAAATTATCTGATCTTGAAAATACTCAAAGAGGCAATTTCAAGGGAAATTGGAAAATATTTTGAAAATTAGAAGACATTAGAAGATATTTTGAACTAAATTAAAATTTAAATAATCCATGTTAAAGTTTATGAGCTACATTTAAAGCAATGCTGAGAGAAATCTTTAGGACTAAATGCTTAAATTAGGTGATAAGAGAAAGAAAACTACACAAGGGTATCCCTCATGATTACAGATGTAAAATCCTCAATAAAATATTAACAAATGAAATACAGCAATATGTAATAATCATAATACATCACGAATCTATTCCAGGAAGATAAGGCTAGTTCATCATTAAAAATCAAATCAGTGTGGCTCACCATATTAACAGACTAGAGAAAAAGAAGTGATCGTATTAATTGACGCAGAAAAAAGCATTTGACAAATTCTAACATTCATTTATGACAAAAGAAAAAATCTCAGCAACCTGGGAATAGGCACATCCTTAATAAAGTGTACCTATAAAAACCCATCTCTTCCTTAAGAACAAGAAAAAGACAAGTACATCCACTTTCATGATCCCTCTTCAATATTCTACTCTAAGTCTTAATACAATTAAGGCTGGACAAAATAAATAAAAGGTATATATGTATGTATTGCAAAGGAAAAAATAAAAATGTCCCTATTTGCAAATGATATGATTGCTTACATAAGAAGGCCCGAAGGATTTGTAAAAGAGCTTCTAAAACTGATAATGGAGTTTAGCAAGGTTGTAGAATACAAAACCAGCATACAAAAATCAATAGCATTTCTGTATAACAGCAATGAATAAGAGAAAAGTGAATTTTTTAAAAAATCACCTATAATAGCTCCAAAATAAGTGATACTTAGGTATAAATCCAAGAAAACATGTGCAAGATTTATATGCTAAAAACCAAAAAACACTGATGAAAGAAATCAAAGTAGCCCTAATAGATAAAGAGAAATATTGTGTTCATAAATCAGAACACTCATGTAGTTGTGTTAATTCTCCCTAAAGAGTTGCCAGATTTAGGGAAAAAAAAAATTTCAGGATGCCAAATTAAATTTGAATTTTAGATAAACAAGGAATATTTTTTAGTATAATTAAGTTCCATGCAATATTTGGGATGTTATAATGCTAAATATTCATTTGGTTTTTTTATCTTAAATTTAAACTTAACTGGATGTCCTATCTATTATCTGGCAACCCTGCAGGGCCCACCTGATTTTAGAGACTTAATGCATTAATAGGACTTTTTGTAGATGTAGGGAGGCTGATTCTAAAATGTGAAAAGGCAAAAGACCTAGAATAACCAAAATAATTTTGGAAAAGAAAATTTGAGGACTCACACTATTCAATTTTAAAACTTAATCTTTTTTAAAGACTTTATTTATTTATTTGACAGAGATCACAAGTAGGCAGAGAGGCAGGCTGGGAGAGAGAGAGGAGGAAGCAGCCTTCCTACTGAGCAGAGAGCCCGATGCGGGACCCTGAGATCATGACCTGAGCTGAAGGCAGAGGCTTAACCCACTGAGCCACATAGGTGCCCCTAAAACTTAATTTAAAAATAAGTAATCAAGATAATGCAGTATCGGTGAATGTTTAGACCTAAATAAAATAGACCTGTGGAGTAAAATAAGAGAATCCAGAAATAGATAATCACAAGTATGATCAACTGACTTTTTAAGATAATTTGTTTTATTAAGATAAAATTCACATCTATAAAATTTACTGTTTTAATCATTTAAAGTGTACAATCCATGATCAACTGATTTTTGACAAAGGTAGGAAGACAATTCAGTGGATAAAGGATAGTCTTTTCAACAAATGAAACAACTAGACATTTGTATGCAAAAAAAAATAACTTCAGCCTATGCATCAGAGTATTTTATAGAAAAATTAACCTCAAATGGATCATAGATCTACATGTAAAACGAGAAGTGTAAATTTTATATCTAAAAATCATAGGAGAAAAAGATTGTGACCTTGAGTTTGGCAAAGAGTTCTTAGAAATAAAAAACTGACCCATTAAAGAAAAAAAATAATGAATTGCACTTCATCAAAATTGAAACTTTTTTCTGCAAAAGACGTTGTTAAAAGAATTATAAACCACGAGCAAATATTAACAAATCACATATCCAGCAAAGGACTTGTATCCAGAATACATAAATAAACTTCAAAACTCAACAGTAAGAAAACAACCCAGTTTAAAAAATAGGCAAAAGGGGGGCGCCTGGGTGGCTCAGTGGGTTAAAGCCTCTGCCTTTGGCTCAGGTCATGATCCCAGGGTCCTGGGATCGAGCCCCACATCGGGCTCTCTGCTCTGCGGAGAGCCTGCTTCCTCCTCTCTCTCTCTGCTTGCCTCTCTGCCTACTTGTGATATCTGTCAAATAAATAAATAAAATCTTTAAAAAAAAATAGGCAAAAGGTCTGAACACATTTCACCGAAAAAGACATAGCATGGCTGATAAGCACTTGAAAAATGCTCAACACCATTAGTCATTATGAAAATGCAAATTAAAACCACAGTGAAATACCTTTATACACCTATTAGAATGACAGTAGAATGAGAGAGGAGTGAAACAGCAGCCGAAATGCTAGTGGGAATGCAGAACAGCTGGAACCCTCATACACTGCCCGTGAGAATGCATAATGATATGGACACTCTGAAAACAATTTAGCAGTGCTTTTTAAAAATTTTTTTTTATTTTTTAAATTGGTGGTGGTGGTGGTGACAGGTGGTAGCTATGGCAGTTCTTATAAAGTTAAGTATGTATTTATAATATAATCCATCAATCCCACTCCTAGGTAATTATTCTTAAGAACTGAAAACTATACGGGAATGTTTATAGCAGCTTTATTTGGATTCACCAAAAAAGTGGGAACACCGTAAATGCCCTTCAGTGAGTGAATGGCTAAGCAAGACATAGTATACCTTTTCAGTGGGTCACTAAGTGATAAAAAAGGAGCAAATTGCAGCACCTGGGTGGCTCAGTCCTTAAGCCTTTGCCTTCGGCTCAGGTCATGATTCTAGGGTCCTCGGATGGAGGCCCCAGTCAGGCTCCTCGCTCAGCGGGGAGGCTGCTTCTCCCTCACCCTCTGCCCTCCCCCCCTCCCCCTGCTTGTGTTCCCTCTCTCGCTGTCTCTCTGTCAAATAAATAAATAAAATCTTCGGAAAAAAAATCTATGAATATATAAGAAGGAGCAAATTACTGATACACTCAACAAATGAGTGAAGCTTAAAGACATTCTGCTAAGTGAAAGCAACCAGTGTCAGAAGGTTACATATTGTATGGTTCCATTTACATGATATTCTGGAAAGGGCAACATTATAGAGATGAGGACCTGATTAGTAGTTGGCAGAGCTTAGGCACCAGAGGCAATTTCACCACCAGAGGTAAAGCAAGGGAGTTCAGAGCAGCTAATGGAACTGTTCTGTGTTCTTATTGGCGTGATGGTTACACAAATCTATATGTGTGTTAAAACTCATAGAAGTGTACATGCACACACATGTATTTCATTCTTTGTAAATAAAAAGGATACATACATTGCAGATGTGTGCTCAAATGTTTAAAACGTTGAAGATGCACCATCAAAAGTTTGAAAGTAGTTTGGAGTGGAAGTATGCCCCTCATTTTACAGTTGGAGAAACTGAGGCCAGAAAGTGCAACAAGTAAGTTACTTTCAAAAATGTATGAAGCAACCATAAGAGTATATTTTCTCTTGGGAACTCTCCCTACTGCCTGACTTTCATCCCAAGCGTTTCCAGGTGGTTTAATTTGGCTTCTTGAATTAATGCAGTTTCTAAATTCAGAGTTTTCTGTAACAGAATGGAATCATGGTTATATGCGCAAGTTAAAATTGGTATGAATGAAAAACATATATATCCTGTTTTGTAGAGTGTGCTGTCAGCATGATCCCAGCTCCTGATGGACAGACCTATGGCTGTTAGAGAAGATGTCTGTAGGATGCCAGAGACTGCAAAACAAATAAACAAACAGATAAATTGGTGGGCGCTATATCTAGACCACTTGAGTCTGAAGCCAGGCCATGCTACCTACTACGGTGGGACCCTAGGTACGTTGCTTGGTTTTTCTCTATCTCCATTGCCTTATCTGTAAATTGCACCCCAATTTTATGTACTGGTAAGAGATTTAAAACATCTCACCAGCAATTATAGTGTGGCACAGTACTTATACTTAACATTATAAGATGTTAAAATGTGATTTAAAAAAAAAAAACAAACAGCATGTCTTAGAATTAGAGATAGTAACGCTTATCCCACTGGATTGTTTTGGTGATTTAAAAAAAAAGTTGTTAAAATTAATGCCCACTGGATTGTTTTGGTGATTTTAAAAAAAAGTTGTTAAAATTAATGCCTGACACATAGTTCTCAATGAATAGTTGTTAGCTATCATTATGATTATATTGTTGTTATTATTACCATTACTACTGTTATTATTATAAGAAACAAATAGTGGAACTTGCATTGTAATGAATTGTAAAACGCCCCTCCCACTCCACTCTGCCTTCTGCCTCCTCTACCACTTTGCTGTTGAATGTTCAAGCTTTGGCACATGCAAACACAGAATGTGTGGACGTTACCAGAGGAAAAAACGTGAGAAACATTTACCACTTCTCAATTTTTGTGAGAGAAAAACCACAGTGACACTCTGCGTGTTGTGTTGGCAAGGTCATTTCTTGCATTGGCACATACACTGGTTCCCACAAGTTGAGGGAATCAGAGAAGGAACTTAAACTAACAGAGCAGCGTGAGTGTCAATCTGGCACTGAAGGACAGGGGACAGGAAGCTGTGTGTAAGGTGGCCGAGCCAGCATTTCTAGGTTTACCGTTTGCCAGCCGTGGCATGGGGCTCAGTGCCATCTCAGTTTCACTTTCTTCTCTGTGAGACAGAGAGAAATAATGACCACTTTATAGCCACTGAGTGGTGTACATAAATTAGAGCTCCAGTTGGGTTAATGGGTTGGAAAACTCAACCATGGCTACAAAAGGAAGCTGGTTAGCCACATGATTTCTTATTATTTGTATTTTAATGCAAGTTCTTTGAATTTGTCCTGCAGTCCTCTATCTTATTGTAGGAACGAGCAGTGTATAGGGGGACACCCCAGACCTGATCCCAGGCCATTCTTTTTTTCTTTTTTCTTTTCTTTCCTTCCTTCTTTCTTTCTTTCTTTCTCTCCTTCTCCTTCTTCTTATTCTTATTCTTATTCTTATTCTTATTCTTATTCTTATTCTTATTCTTATTCTTATTCTTATTCTTTCTTTTCCAGAAAGGGAGAGAAAGAGGGATGGGGGGCAGAGGGAGAGAGAGGCTCTTCAGCAGGCTCCATGCCCAGCGAGGAGCCCAATGTGGGGCTCAATTTCACAACCCTAAGATCATGACTTGAGCCAAAATCAAGAGTTGGGTCCTTAACTGACTGAACCACCCAGGTACCCCTCAGAGTCATTCTTACTGGGGTGCTGGACCCAGTGCAAATTCCTTTGTGTGCTTGGACCCTTCAACCAAACCTTGTTGTTCAGGAGCTACCTGGTTCAGAGGCCCTAAGTAGTCTTGGGGGAACTGTCAGTGCTAGAGATAAAAAGGATTAAAAATGAAATGTTCCTTAAGGACTGAGCATGTAAAGAAACTTCCTGAGAAGTGCTCAGTGCCAGGTACTGATACGATATCCATTGTTATTCTAGAAATTAGTTGTTACAAACTTCTTGTTGCATTTGAATAAACCAGGTTCCATTGAGAGGCAGGGGATATGCCCAGGATCTTATAAATGAAGCCCCTGAGCTTCCAGGCTGGATTCTGCCTCACGTGGTGCTATGCTGAAGTGACAGGCATTTAATACCACATTCAGATTGCCCAGGTGACAGTGCTGAAGGTTCCTAATGAGAACCACTGCTCTGCTGAGTGCTAGCTAAAGATCCTTTCTTCCTTTCATTCTTTCATTTCACACCTGTCTATTGAGGGTGTTGCCTGTGCTCTAGATCTAGAAATACCCCCAGGGAATCCGACACACAACCCTGAATCCGGAAGTTCACAGAATAATGGGAAAGACCGCAAGTAGACCCAGGTTTCATGTGGCCCCAAACTTAAACAAATTGAAAAGGCCTCTTTAGGAAAAGGGAAATAAAATTAGCAAAAGGGTCTTGGAAGGAGCAAGGGAGGGTCCTGAAGTTTAACCTGTATTAGCTTCCCTGCAGTTCTGCCTTTGGGGGAAACCAATAAGCACACCTGCACTGACAATTATATGTATTCAGGGCTGATGGGGAAGCAGAAGAGTCTCTTAGAAGAAATGCTGTCTAAGCTAAGACCCCCTTACCCGGATGGGGCAGGGAGACCTGGCAGAGGGAATAATGGGGTACAGGATCCAGGTAAGGGAAAGAAGCTGCCATAGTTTTCAGGGAGTGAGGAAAAAAAGCATCTTTCCTCCTTCCTTCACTGCACCCCAAGGCACTGAGGTCCCTCCCAAAGCACAGGGCCCTGAGTTGCCACATTCTAGAGGTTAACAGGACTTGCTCCAGGCAGAGTTTCTGCCTTTCCTCCCACCTGCTTGGGAGACCTCAGGTCCCAGGAGAAGGTGTCCAGGCTTGTTGTCTGCACTCCAACAACACAAGCTTGCATTGGGCATTTGTTGAAATCAAACAATCCAGAAAAGCTTCCTTTGTCAGAAGTTCACTTGAGGTGCAACAGGCTCCAAGCAAGAGAAGATAGGGGAAGGGAGGAAGGAGAAGTGGAGAGAGACTGACTTCTGAAATAAAATCCTTCACTGAGATTAAGAACTCAAGAGACATCTGTCCTAACCTGTGCTAAGGAACAGAGGGGGTGAAGTTAGTATCCCCTCCAAAAGCAATCAGCAGGGTGTGCTAGTAACTCTAAGTTTCAAAGGTGATGTTCTAATACCCTTATTTCCTCTCTGTGCAGCCAGTACCCTACCTGCTCCACCGCCATGCCAATGTACCCCCACTGGGACTCCTTCAACCCTCACAAGCCCAGGTGGAGAGTGGATGGAATGACTTGCACGTTGGAGCCCATGTCTCCAAGCAGTGCAAAGCTGGAGCAGCAGCCTATGTCCTGCAGGGCAATGAGGACTTGGAGGTTCACTTTCCCTGGGAAGTTCCAGAACAGCCCCCGGCTATGCCTTGACCACCACACAGAAAAGGTTGGTAATGTTGGTCATCCTAGGGAAGCCCCTTCTAGGCAACCAAGTCTGGGCTCTGCTCCTGTGTGCACTTCACCTTCTCTGATTTAATTTTTCTTCTCAGTTACCCCATTTGTAAAATGGGAATAATGATACTTGTGGTTGAGAAGGGAGCAATAAGGGGGGGAGGGTTCGATCTAAAAGTTCCCTAGGTTCAGAGTACAGAATGTTACTACATTTGAGGCCTCTGCCTGGTGGCTCCCTCACCACCCCCACACTTTCACCACACACTGTGCTGCAGCATCTCCAAGATCACCTGAAGGGAGGACCCTGACCAAGATCACTTGTGTGTTGAGAATGGACCTTTCTCCCAGGAAACGATAGGGGATGTCTCCTGCCATGTCACACCTGCACCAAAGATGCGAGCAACCTGGCATTGTAATGGGTGGGGGTGGGGGGGTGCGGCTGGAAGAGCAAGTCCTCTCCAGACACCTGTAGCTCAGCACACTGCTGTCTTTCTCCTGCTTCATCACCCTTCTCTCGGCCCACACTTGCACGTGCGTCTTTTTTCACAGCTACAGGGTCCTTGTGGTTCTTTTTCACACATCAAATGGGAAAAGAATGAGGAAAATGGAGAGGGACTCTAATTTGCACTGCTACTTAACCTAAATGGGGCATCCTAATCTCCAGCAAAGGGAGAAAGGACCAAGTGGGAGCTGCTGTTCTCTGCTCACCAAAAAGCCATGCTCTCCTCTTCTTCCTGGCTCTCGAGCAAACTATGTTTCCCAGCCTCTCTTGTGGTTATATGTGGCCATGTGACTAAGTCATAGCCAATGGGATGTAGGTGACCTCGCCCATAAAACCTTCCAGGCTCCAGGCTCCTCCATGATTTTTTCTCTTTCTGGATGGTTCCACTGGCTCCAACCTCCAAAGTGACTGTGGAAGCCTGAAGAGACAGGGCCACCTTTTTGACTTGTTAACTCACTCATTACTGTTAGGTGAATAAGAAATAACCATCCATTGTGTTTGAGCTTTTATACATTGGGTTATACCTGTTGGAACTGTTAGCGTACCCTAATTCATACAGAACAGAATAACTCGCAAATCTTGCCACCTCCAGGAAGCCCATGCCAATGTCTTCCTTCTTTCACCCCAATTCCTTTATTAGCTGCTATCTTATATTGCTATTTAATGGAATGTTAACTAAAATTCAGACTAGGGACTCATGTCTTCTCTATTTTGTGTCATGTCTAGCAAAGAGATGCTTATAGTCATTAGATAAATCTTCCCTCTGTGCATTTAGTGGGCAGTCCTTCTCCCAGGAATGCCCTTTCAAAGTCTTTTTCTCTGCCTCTGATAATCTCCCGCCATCCCAGTTGCAATTATTTGCAATTTCCATCTCTTTCCCTTCTTGGGGTCTTCTCTTTCCACTCCACGCCACTGTGATCTTTCCCCTCTTCAATATATTTACTGCACCTCAGGTCACAGTTTCATTGAGACAACTTTTGCATTAAATGTCTTAGCATTCTGCAGTGTAAGCCATAAAATAATGGTGCATTTAAGAGATGGGCAAGGACCAAGGAAAGGAGAGAAACTGGAAAGGAGAAGTTAAGGAACAGGAAGAAAATTTTGGAGAGCTTGGATGTCATGGAAACCAAGGGGAGAGAGCATTTTAAGGAGGGAGAGGAAACAGCATCAGCTGGTGTGGTTAAGTACACTGGGGACTCCACACACGGGCTTAGCAAGATGGAAATGATGGGTCCCCTCAATGAGCGGTGAGCCCCAGCACCTGGGCTTAGATGGAAGGGAGTGTAAGAAAAGGAGATAGGGAGCATACCTAAGTCTTAAGGAATTTAGGGAGGAGAAGAGGTTTGAGAGGTGGCCAGAGAGAAATCTGAGGTGAGACAGGGTGTGAGATGATTTTTAGGATGGGTGAGTCTGACTGATGGGAAAGAATGGCAGACAGGGGGAGGTTGAGGAAGAGAATGAGAGGTGGCCAGCACCAGAGTTCCTGAGAAGCAGGGCTGGGTAATGGGTCCAGGACACAAGTGGGGGCCTGGGCTGAGGGGACCCACTTCCATGATAACTAGTGGGATGGAGGAAGGACACTCATCCTCTCTTCTTTCCTAAGTGGTTGTGGGGTTAGGTGGTAGAAAGTCAAGTGAGCCCTGGGCTGATGGCTTCGGTGTTTTGTCAGAAAAGGAAACCGAGTGATCTGCTGGAAAGAGGAGCAGCCTCCGGATGGCCCCAGTTCCCTTCCACTCCCAATCCTGTCCATTCTAGGGGTGACAGCAGGGTTCCTCAGCCATCTCTCACAGCTCTCACCTCACATTCAGGGGCTGACCTGCAGTCTAACACCTAGAAAAAGCTGGGTTGGGTCCCTGGGGCCTGTCTGGAAATAACATTCCTTCAAGTTCTAGTTTCTCTAAATCCTGGACCGCTTCTTCTTCATTGTTCTTCCTGGACCCAGCATGGGTTTAACTGGAAAATAGAGGGCCTATTGTTCTGATGCAGTGATAGGAATAGAATTCTTCATTTTGAGAAACTTAGTTGTTAGAATTTTTTTTTTTTAAAGATTCAGCATCGTTTTCTCATGAGGCAGATGCTCGCTGACTGCGTTTGTCTCCTGTTCATGATGGGCATGTGGATAAAGCCAGTGGTCCCATGCCACGTGGTCTGCGCCTGGACCTATCTCCATAGCTCTCCCAAGTAATCCCAGTACTCCCAGCTTTTGGAGGCCGGCTGGGCGCCCTCGCGTCCGCCAGAGGGCGCCGTTGGCTCACAGAGCCGGCCGTGGTGGCCCTAGGCCTGGGGGTGCAGCGCTGACCACAGCGCTGTCCATTAGCCCAGTGACTAAATCACTTTATTACTTCATCCCCTGTTGCAGCGGAGTGGAGCGAGCCAGCCATCGCCAGGGTGCTCATCTGTGCAAGCAAGAGAGGAGCTAACAAGATTTGTGACACTCTTCTTATTTCGAAGTGTCATCCTTGTGACAAGTATTTATAGAGCACAGGGTTGTACCTACTGTGTCCAGGATCCTGGAGAGTAAGTATGGAGATGAGTCATACTGTCTCTCCAAACTTAAGGACCTTTCAGGGAAGTGGCAGAATTAAGAGAAGTCCCAAATTAAAAAAAAATGTAGTTGGGCAGAGGTCAGGGCTATGAGAAGTGAGGGGAAGTGGTGGGAGAGTTCAGGGAGAGGGATCCAGAGGTTCAGCCAGGGACATAAGGACTGGGACAGGGAGGGGTTGGGCCTTAAAAGAGAGAAGGATTTGCTACCCTGAATTACATCTTGGTTGCAAGAGAACCTGTGAATTAACTAGTTCTGGTTGTACATCTGTTATACCTAAATGATTGTTATCGGTGATGAAAAGACAATATTCCCTGCCCTGGAGATCTATCTCCTTAATCTTGAAAGGTAAATTAGAAATAGAAATGGATTGGCCAAATATCCAGAATGGGTTAGAGATATATAATGTAATCCGAACAGTCAGATTAAAAAAAAAACCCCAAAACAAAACAAAACCAAAAAACCATGTGTATGTTTTGAGGGGGTCCACGTCTGGCTGGTTCAGTTGGTCGAGCATATGACTTTTGATCTCAGAGTCATGAGTTTGAGACCCACGTTAGACATGGATGCTATTTAAAATTAAAATAAAAAAAAATGGTTTCACTGAACAGTAAGATAGTCCTTCTGCTAATTCATAAATTAGCCACAGGAGCCCACAGAAACAGCTGTTACATTTGGTGCAGTTATAAAACCATACGCCAAAGATACATCTAATTGGTGTTACCAGACAAGATGCAGAAATAGAGAAGTTAAGGAACAATAAAGTTTTTTTGTTTTAAGGACCTTGTTTACACATATCCCCAAAACCTAAGGAAGAACTCTGTAAATATCATCGTCCCCCAAGAATTATTACAAGTCTGTAATATCCAATTGCACTGAGGCCAGTTAAGTTTGGAACCAATACATTAAAACAAACCTGATTTGATTTACAGAAATTTTGTTTCCAACATATAAAGGGTAATTGGAGTTCTTATCATTAAATGGCGTTGCACTGGTTCTAGTGTAATAATGCGGGAAAATCAGTAAACTGCATCTAGGAAGCATTAAGAGTTGATTATAGACCTCTAGCTAGTGCTTTCTTTGGTTATTGTTAAAAATTCTCTTGTGTGGCAAGTCAGTGAACTTCTCTAGCTCTCAGTTTCATCATTTAATAGAGGAATTTAATAATAAGAAAGAATATAGGCCAGTTCATCTCCCAAATCTTGCAGCGTGTAACAAACAAGTCTTAGTTCTGCTGTGTCTAAATGCCCCCTTAGTGCAGACTTGGTTCTGAAGTCTCTTGAAGGATTTGCAAGTTCTCTGACATTAAACATAACTGAGGGAAGGGGAGAGGGGCTTAGGTGGCTGCTAGTTCTGAAACAGGCTGGATTCTCAATGTGATCTGAAGTCTTCTGCATGCAGTGGCCCAGGGCCATGGGGGATCGAACAGTTTCCCTCTGACTGTAATTGTCCTTACCTCTACTTTTCTTTCTTTCTTTTTTTTTTTTTTAAGATTTTATTTATTTATTTGACAGACAGATCACAAGTAGGCAGAGAGGAAGGCGGTGGGGGAGGGAGCAGGCTCCCTGCTGAGCAGAATGCCCAATGCGGGGCTCGATCCCAGGACCCTGGGACCATGACCTGAGCGGAAGGCAGAGGCTTTAACCCACTGAGCCACCCAGGCTCCCCATTACCTCTACATTTCTATTACCCTTTCCAACTGTGCCATTTATCTGTCATTTACTGTGTGCTGCCTTGAGTCATCCTTATGCACCTGATACTTGAGGACAGGGTCTATGGCATTCTTCATTGCTCTTCACCAAACAGTCCATACTCCTCACCTCTGCACATGGGGGAACTTCCCAGCCCCTGGTGGTTGGGGGAGAGCAGCCATGTGACTGGTTCTAGCTAACAGGTAGTGAGCAGAAGTGAATGTCATTTAGCACATCCAGTGGACTATTAGTTGCCCGACCCTCTAGAGGTTCTTTTGCTTGTTGCCCGTGACCAGCTAAGTTCCAGATAGTGACTTTTCTGTTGGCCTGGATGCAGGAACAAGAATGATACTGAGCTGGGGCAGAGCTCTCAGCCAACCTGCCACAGATTTAGAGCAGCATGAGGAGAAACCTGTTATTTTTAAGGCCATGGGATTTGGAGACTGTTTATTACAGCAGCATGACCTGGCCCAGTCCGACTAATAAGGGGTCAATGTGTGTCATCATCTTTGCTTCCCCAGTGCTCCCAATGACGTGGCACTTAATACCAACTGCTAAATAAATGATTTCCTGTCTCCCCCACTGGAGTAGGAAACATCCATACATCTCTTTGTCCTCCCCAGAGCACCTGCCCCAGGATTGTGAACATAGCAGGTGCTTAGCAAGACCCATGGATTAATTTGTATATTTAAAAGTCCTAAGATGCAGGGCACCTGGGTGGTTCAATCAGTTAAGTGTCTGACTTTTGCTCAGGTCATGATCTCAGGGCCCTTGGACTGAGGCCTGCACCAGGCTCCCCGCTTAGCAGGGAGTCTGCTTGTCCCCCTCTCTCTCTGCCCTTCTCCCTGCTTGTGCTCATGCTTGCGTGCACGTGTGCTCTCTCTCTCAAATAAATAAATAAATAAACAAATAAAATATTTAAGAAAAAAAAAGAAGTCCCAAGATGCAGCTCAACGTAACAGCCAAAGACGTGGTATGTGATGTTCCTTACCATATGGTGCTTGAGTGAGTGGGATGCAGGGTCAAAGGAACTGAGGAAAGATGGGCAGTAGGCCATCTGCCTGCATCTGCCTTTAAGTTCTATGGGGTTACCTCTGATTCTTATACCTCTTTGTAGGGTACGAGTGAAGCTTGGTCTCTGGGTCATAGCAACAGAGTTCAGAGCAGAGTCAAGGCCAACATAAGACAGGGCAGGCTAGACATAGGCCAGCAACCAGAGGGAGGAACTAGGGTGGGGTTAGGAGTGGGGCTGGGACACAGGTCAGGGGTAGGCCAGGCAGGGCCAACAGAACTCTGGAAGGTTTTCAGTGTCATTTTGTTGCTGCATATTCCATCACATAGCCCAGGTGGTTGAATTCTGTTCCACAGGGCATGTGTGGAATGGATGACAGTCCCTGACCAGGCCAACCTTTGCAGAAGCCATTAACATTCTATAAATGGCATCCACTAGCACAGCAACAAGGACATGAATATTGATATGTTAGTCTAAGGTTCTGGCACCCCATCTCTGCTTCCTTTAATCCATCACAACAATATCCACAGGCTGTTTCTTTTTGATTAGAGGAAATCATCTTCAGGCGTGGATCTTCTATTGCTCCAACATCCTGGTTTGGGGGTGAGTTTTCTGGGGGGAAACTGCAGAAGAGTAACCTATCCATCCCTGCAAAATTGCCTTTTTAAGGTATTAACTCTAGGTATGCTGTTCCCGACCTTAGAATGATCAGTGTCTCATGAGGAAAAAATTCAAACTCATTTACAGGCTCCCCAGAGTCTTAATGATCCCATTCAACCTACCTAACCTCACCTCACCTCCTCTTCCTGCCTGCCAACATGCCAGGTCCATCTGATGGCTGACTCATCCCACACAGCTGTGCTCTTACCTACTTGTGCTCTGCATACCCTGTTCCCATTGCCTCCAGTGTCCTTCCCTCTCCTCTTTGCCTACTGGAAAGTCTAGACTGATGGGTGATGACTTCCCAGGCAAACCCAGGCAGGGGGTGAGGCTGCCTTTGTGCTGTCACTCTCAGAGAGGCTGGAGCACCCCTACATCTACTGTAGTACTTAATCATGTGGCCTTGGGAGCTCTTGCTCAATTAGTCTTTTTCCCCAAGAGCTTAATTTTTTTTTTAATAATTTTTTTTTAATTTATTTATTTGACAGACAGAGATCACAAGCAGGCAGAGAGGCAGGCAGAGAGAGAGGAGGAAGCAGGCTCCTTGCCGAGCAGAGAGCCCGATGCGGGGCTTGATCCCAGGACCCTGAGATCATGACCTGAGCCGAAGGCAGCGGCTTAACCCACTGAGCCACCCAGGCGCCCCAAGAGCTTAATTTTTAAAGCACCCTCTTGGTCATCTTTGTTCAGTTTTGAAAAATTCATTCTTCCTTTCCCTCACTCAAAGCTCACAAAATAACTAGGCAGTAGTTGGAATCCAGGGGACATCTTACTCAATGTCAATGCCAGTCTCTCTGCTGTCTTTCAGAACTGCATACAGAGGCCAAGAGGAGGATCTAGTAGGCAAAGATTATTGATTGGAATTTTACTTTTTAAACTTTCCCACCTGTAAGGGCTTGTTTTTCTTTTCATGTGAATCTGGAAACAAGCTCACATCTGGCATCTCCGTGGTGATCCTGGAGAACAGAGATTTTTGTTCAGCCAAGCCAGAGAGTAAGAAGGTGAGAGATTTATTCAGAAATAAGGATGTAATAGGAGCAAGAAATTAGGAATGTTTGCAATGTAAAGTACCAGCATTCTCCCTTTTTATTTAAATATTCATTCAGTACAACACAGGCAGTTTGGCGAGATCTTTTCACCACTCCACCCCACCACCCCTTTTTAGACTTGGAATTAAAAGGCAGGCACCTGTGATGAGCACGGGGTGTTGAATGGAAGTGTTGAATCACTATACTGTACACCTGAAATGAAGATTACACTGTATGCTAACTGGAATTTAAATAAAAACTTACAAAATGGTTAAGACCCCCCAAAAAAGGAGGTGAGGTTACACTGGTGTTGGTCACATCTGAGAAATGCAGCCTGATTTTTCACATGGTGTAATAGACAGCCTGCTAAGAGGCAGAGGCTGTTCTCCTGTAACCATACCTGGGTCACAAGGAAGTGGTATTAGAAGTTTGTAGATTATTGGTTTTTTTTTTTTTTAAAGATTTTATTTATTTATCTGTCAGAGAGAGAGAGAGGGAGAGAGAGCAAGCACAGGCAGACAGAATGGCAGGCAGAGGCAGAGGGAGAAGCAGGCTCCCCGCTGAGCAAGGAGCCCGATGCGGGACTCGATCCCAGGACACTGGGATCATGACCTGAGCCGAAGGCAGCTGCTTAACCAACTGAGCCACCCAGGCATCCCAGATTATTGGTTTTAAGAATACCTAACCACTGAGATGGCAGTAGGCCCTATTTATTTATATATATCTGGGAAGTCTTGTCTGGGGAGAGATGGAATATGATATCACGCAAAAAGTTCAAGTTCAGCATGCCCGTAATTCTAAACCTATTTCCTATATGACACATTGAAGAGGAGGGATTTTGGTCAATGTTTTCCAGTCTTGTGTACTTCTCTGTTTGCATGGTAATCTTACCCAGGGAAAGAGTACAGAGATGGTCTGAAACACTTACGGATCCCTAAATTCATGAAGTCCTTGCCTTTCTAGACTCCTCAACAGGGCTGGGGCTAGGGTGAGGCAAATGGAGCACTCATCTCAGGTACAGAATTTCAGAGGTGCCAATCAAGTCGGTAATATAAGTGATATTTTATTTTATTTTATTTTATTTTAAAAGAT